TTTAGTTAACCACATATCTACCCTTTAATAATGTATTTTTCGAAACATAATATATATATTTTAATTAAGATTAATTAATTTTTATTTATTAATTTACTATCAAATTACTTTTTAAAGAAACTGATTAAAATATTAATTAATTACTTATAAAAATCCATTATCCATACATACGCTAATATCTATCATTAACCTATTACCTATTCCTAACTTTATAATGATTCTACCAAATACATTTTATTACATTTAAAGAACGCCACATAAAATCAAGTGACTTCAATGATTTAAATTATGTATAACAAACATAACTAATAACTTTCTCTTTTAAATTACACCATATATGAAATATGAACAATAAGTATATTGTATTTAATTATATAAGAATTTGTAAAATGATTTGGCTGAAATTAATAAAACAATCTAAAAGTATTTTATTATATTCATGACGAATTTTTTTTTTTTTCCCCTGCTAAATAACGAAAAAAAAAAATTAAAAATAAAAACAAACAAAGCCTATAATCATCTTTCCTTTTCGAATTGTTTATTTAAAAAGTTCTATTTTTAATTTAAGAATTTTCTTTTTGTTTCAAACAATCCTGATCAGTATGGAACATACGTTAAGTACGCTAAACTATAAATGTTCATTTTATTGAAGAAAAAAATTCTTTCTACTAACCATACATTTTATATTAATTAATTTTTTTCAAAGTAAAAAATCATTAACAATTTCTGCAGCGATAGAAAAAAAAAAAATTTTTTTTTTTTGTGGTCATTGTCATTGTTCGCAATTGACCGAATAATTCTCACATACTTATCATGTTTATATGATATTACCGATATTGGTTAGTGCTTTTAGAGTAATTTGGGAAATTGGGCGAGTCTAATCAATTAAATCAATTGTATCGTGTAAACTTTTTAATAAAACCTAAAAGTAAAAGTAATTAAACTCTATTTATGAGGTATTTTGAGGTATAAAGTGAGGTATAAAGTTTACGTTAACAGAAAAGTTTTAAAAAACGTGAGGTAAGTTTTGAGTATAAATTTGTTTAAGCTTTGGTAAGTTTGGAGTTATGCGTTATATAATAATGATTAACAAATAGTTTAAAAGAAAAAAAGCCACTTTAATATCAAATGACCAATTAAAACGAACCTGATTTACGCTTGTGAAAGATTATCCTCAAATTTTCCTGATTATCTCGGTATGATCTGTAACAACAAAACCTTTTTTTTTTTTCTTTTTTTCTCTCTTACACTTTATATTTTTTTGATACCATATTTGGAAACATGGATTTAACCAATTTTCTTTTCTCAATTCATTTTCTATACATGTCTTAGGTTATAGATATGTTATGTCTGTTGATCCTACAAAGATGTTTTAAATAATTACCCCGATTAGCTAAAAACATTTACCCCCTCGTTTCATCCTTAAAAAAAAAAAGGTAGGCAGTTACACAGGGCCGAGCTTTTCGGTTTCAGTTTATAATCTAAACTAAGAAAATTTTTATAGTTTTATATCTTTTTTTATTTATTTATTTATTTATTATGTCAAACTAAATGATCATCCATCCGATTGGTTTTTTTTTTTTTTTCGGAGGTTATATTATATCAAAATTTACCTACTTAAGGGATACAAAAAGATTTCATTTCTTTTTGTGAGTAAATTTTAGGAAATATTCATGTAAACATATTGGCTTAATAGTGTTTACTAAATGGGTTCCTTCTATTATGGTAGTTCTGTCTCTTATACACATCTAGATGTGTATAAGAGACAGTTATTATACAATTATACGATTATACGCGAAACTTCAATTATTGTGAACAACATTTTGGGTAATATTGTTAATAAATTTGGAACAATATTAAAAAAAAAAAAAAGATAAAAGATAAATAAGATAAATAAGATAACTAAAGTTTTATCTAGATTATCTTAATTCTGGCCGAAAAAAAAAAATTATTTATTCATAAAACTTTTGTAAACTTTGGCCAAAAATATTTAAAATATTTAAAATATTAGCAGTTAGATCAAATGTTCAGATGATTAATATGATTAAAAATTGTTGTATACGTATTTAGTCGTACTACGTTAAAATTAAGTCATGAAAGATTTTGATGTGTAATACATGTCGTATGTTTGTATGTTTGTATGCGTTGTATAGTGTTTTATATGTTCATTATGTTCATTATGTTGTATATGTTCATTATGTTGTATATGTTCATTATGTTGTATCAGTATGTTCATTATGTCTGTCTCTTATACACATCTAGATGTGTATAAGAGACAGGTGTAATACATGTCGTATGTTTGTATGTTTGTATGCGTTGTATAGTGTTTTATATGTTCATTATGTTCATTATGTTGTATATGTTCATTATGTTGTATATGTTCATTATGTTGTATCAGTATGTTCATTATGTTGTATATGTTGTATAAGTTGTATAGTTGTATACCTGTCTCTTATACACATCTAGATGTGTATAAGAGACAGGTATAGTGTTTTATATGTTCATTATGTTCATTATGTTGTATATGTTCATTATGTTGTATATGTTCATTATGTTGTATCAGTATGTTCATTATGTTGTATATGTTGTATAAGTTGTATAGTTGTATACTGACAAAGTAATGTTCAATTCATAACATTATTCAGTTTATAACATTATTCCTGTCTCTTATACACATCTAGATGTGTATAAGAGAATCAGTATGTTCATTATGTTGTATATGTTGTATAAGTTGTATAGTTGTATACTGACAAAGTAATGTTCAATTCATAACATTATTCAGTTTATAACCTGTCTCTTATACACATCTAGATGTGTATAAGAGACAGGATATATTGACAAGATTTAATGTGAAAAATTACGATCAATTTTATCACTTTATCGGGTTTCGAATATATCGAGTTTTGAAATATATGAAATATATGCAAAATTATAATAAATTATAACTACTATTATGCTATTCATATATTACAAATTTTATTGATTCTTTTTTTTTTTTAAAAAAAAAAAATCCCCAAAAAAACATTAATTCTTCAATCCTGTCTGTATCAATATATAAAAAAAAGATGTAATTGACGAAAAGATTTCAAATCAGTTCACCCTTTTTTTTATATTCATCATAGACATAAAATTTAAATTAGGGGAAAAAAAATCAAAAAAGATTTTTCTGTAAATATTTTCAATTATATTTTTAAATTAAATAAATTGTCTCATTATAACTACTTATCATAAAAGAATTAATTAAATTAAATCTCATTATAACTACTTGTCATAAATAAAAGAATTGCATTTTTAAATTAATTAAATTAAGTCTTCATTATAACTGCTTGTCATAAAGAATTACATTTATAAATTAAGTCTCATTATAGCTGTTTGTCATAAAAGAATTACATTTTTAAATGCTTGTCATAAAAGACCTACTGACTCTCCAACACTTGAGTAATAAACACATTTTGATCGATGGATTTTGATAAATTTCAAAATGGATATTACTGTAATTACTTTAATTGCTCTCTGATGGGATGCTAGTATGTACGCGTAAATCGAAATTTCTTAATAAAGTCGCTGCTTTCAGTGAGGATAATAAATCACTTTAATCAACTAATTTTTTTTAATAGTACTATAGTAGCATTAGTGAGGTTATGGTAAGAACGAAAATATAGTATGTAGTTGACTATAAATGTTTATTTGAAATCTTTTTTATATTGATCCAATGATTTTGAATGCTATACTTTCTCATCTCCTATGGTTTTTTTTTTATTTCAGAAGAGAAAAGATACATACTTTAAAAGATTCATTTTTCTGAGATTTTAGTTAATTACTTCATCATGACACTAACAACTTATATTGTGCAATAGATCAATCAATCAATCAATTCTATTGTTTCCCATTTCAAAGCTATATTTTCGCCAATAGTAATGGCTGATCAAAAAAGCTACGCTATAATAATATTAGGATTTTAGTCGCTCCCATCCAACTGCTTTTATTTTTGTTGATTAAATCATTTTAAATCCTTACTCTCACTCGCATCACTACATAGGTAATTATAGATCAAATGATCAATCCGTTAATTTATACCTACGTGCAATATTATTACAATCATCTTTATATTTCAAATTTCGCATACGTACTGCACTCAGGATTTTTTATTATTAGTCACTTTTTCCATATATATTAAACTCAAATTATAATAACTAATGAATTTACTCTTTAAGAAAGCAACCGATTCGATAATCAAATGAATATATTTAATATCATTCTAAGCGTGATCTTTTTTTTACTATATATATTCCATCATTGATTTCAAAGACACCATAAATTCATTTTTATAAAAATATAGGACAAATAATTCCATATTTATATAATTCATTTAATTTTCTATTTTTCCATTAAAAAAAACGATTTCAGGAACTTGATTTTGACTATTTATCTCACAAGAACCTACAAGAAAAATCTTAAAAATGATTTCATTTTTTGAATATAAAATATTTCATTACAATGTTAATAGAATCATAAAGACCAATGGTATGTTTTTTTTAAAGTCGAAACAAAATTTTCTTAATTTGAACTTTCCTAGATTTGAAAAAGTAATTAATTAAGTATATAAAAATCAATCATTTATGTGAAGGGTTCTCCAGTAAACGAAAATGAATCATATTAAAATATGAACTGAGAAGTTCGAGTCGTCTATTTATTTGACGAGAATCAAATTTTACTTTTTAAAATGGTTCGTGAAGTTTTAATAAACTCGATATAAATTAAACTATATAAACTTTTATTCATTATATTCATTAACATACAGTATATACGTATATTAGAGTCGTGACAGTTATCACGTAATTTAAAGTAATTTTATTAATTTATTATAGTGTTTTCTATCGTTCGCTATTTTTCTGAGATTTTTTTTTTTTTTCCATTATTTTTAATCGTATTTTCTTATCGCCATTTCTTTGATACTTACATGAAAAGTAATATTAGTTATGGTTCTAAAAAAATAATAATTTTTTTTTTTTTTTTATGTTGGTAAATCTTAAATCTATTCAACTTCATTAATCTTAAATATTACTCAATTTTTATTAATTTTAACAAATTTCCCTTTTTTTGAAATCTTCAACGATCACCCTTAATACTTGTCTTAATAAAGGACCATGATGTCGTATTTCACTATAGGGGGTGTAATGATCAAGTTTTTCTGGCGTGATGAGTTCTAAAGTATCATAATTCGAACTTATGATTGCTATTTTTCAAAAAAAAATGATTAATGTAAATAACTTTATAATATATTAAATAATAATATAAATAAAAATTCATAATTTACTTACAGTAAACCTTCATTATTATACGCATATAATAAAATAAAGTCCTATTAGCATTAATTTCCTAAAGTATAAAATTTTACGTAAATTACACTAACCTGTTCAGGAGTTATTGTTCTCGCTCTATTATTTAATTTCCAAGTTTCAATTTTTAAATGGAAATGTGTACATATGGTATTAATATTTGATAAAACATCAAATTGTGATGATGGTGATGCAGGCTTCTGAAATGCAGATTTGGTTGGACTCCCTGGCTTAGTCTTATTAACTAAAAAATCATGAATAAAACGATATAATATTAACATATAAAAAACCATTAAAGTAAACTATACAAAAAAATTCCTATAATAAATTATTACCTATACGGCTTAATCCTTCAAATGTTTCTTTTGCTCTCACGATTTCATAAAAAAAGTTATCATAACTAATTGGATCTGGAAAGAAAGTGTCACCATGTGTAATACTTAAATTAATAATATTTATTGCAGAAAGTAAAACTTCATTTACTGAAGCTCGATCTTGTTGAAAGTGTTCTATGTTTGAAAGTATGAATTTCAATAAGCCAATAAGTGAGTGCCATAATTCTGCCCAATGATATGCTGTAAAAGATTATAAAATAATAATCCATGTTATTAAATAATTTCTATTAACGAAAGGAGATTAAAATTACTATTATTATATAAATATATATATTTAAAAAAAGCTGAAATAATATTTACGTAATCTAACACGATTCCTTTTAAGATATGACATTGTTCGATGTATAACGCCTAATGCCATGCTGTGTGTGTAAACATTATATAAGTTACTTAATTATTATTAATTAATACCCGTTAAATTTTTGTTAACTTACCTATATAAATCAGTTTGTAATTTTCTCCTCAAATTATGATTTATGAATCCAATAACAACATCTAATATAACACCAACTAATGGACGAGGAAACTTTGCGTTTTGTAACAAAGGTGGTCTCTGTATATCAGAGAATATTAATTAATATAAGATACCTTTCCTTTAAACGCAAAATAAAATTCATATGTTCACCGAAAACTTACTTGTCTGCAAAGTCTCACTACAAATTGTCTTTCGTCTTCACATATAATCTCATTAAATGACGCGTCTTCAACTAATATCACTAATGTTAGTAATATCAGGTTCGCATAACTCGCAGTACGGTTAGTACGATTGTGTTGTAGGAGATATGATGAAAGTGAAAGAAAGTCACAAAAATATGGACAGTCTATTAAAATAGAGAAAATATTATTGCTTGTCGTACTTTTGATATTAAAACTCGACATAATTTTATTCACCTCGACCAATTTCGGCTGATTTTTTATTATCTTCAGTTGTTGTTGCAGGGTTGTCATTAAATTGAGGTCTTGAAGGAATCGAAAATCTTGCAATGGATTTTGTTATATAATCAACGAATCGTTTATTATTATTCACCATATCATAAAAGGATAAAAGAATTGCAACATTTGCAGATGGTCTATGTCATTATTAGTTATGCATGCATATTTGTGAGAAGTGCAGAATGAAATTTTTTTTTTAACAAAAAAATAATATATCGATGAAATCTCACAATCTAACAAATGCCAATTCCGGATCCGATACATTTGAATGTTGCTTTGTTCCACTGCCATACCAAGGTAAAATAGATCCAACATATGACACAACAGTTGAAATCAAATATTTGTTTGCTTCATCGTCTTCCTGTATCTCAATATATTGTCTAGAAATGAATAAAAAAAAAAATTAAAATAATAATTAAAAAAAACCGCGAATATAAATAATAATAAATGATAAATACCCTTGACATTTTATACATGTCGATGATAATACTTCCATGATTTTCTATAAATTTAGTTTAAAGGTGAAATAACGATTATATCTTCAAGTATCACTTATCTACCAAATTATCTATCTATATACCTCAAATACAGCTTCACCCTTAATATCAATCAGTTTTGTTAAATAAGGGTTCCTCGACTCGTGCTTGTTATAATTTGCCAAGATATCCAGTAACATAATAGCTTCATAAGCCATATGCGATGTTTTGGGGGAAATTATTAACTTTAAATAACAAGAAAATTAATTAAAATATTTCCCTCTAAAAAAATAATTACAAATTCGAGTAATTAAATACCTGGATTAAAGGATCAAAAATATCATTTTTTATGAAATATTCATTTATACTATTTTGATTGATATTAGTGTTTCCACATACGATCACAATAGCTAATCGTAATGCTTCATGTTGGACCTCTACTAACATATAGATATTAAATTGAACGAGTTATTATTATAAAATAATAATTAACTAAATTTCTTACTTATTTCACCATGTCTCATTAAATATTTAATGGTGTCAACAAGTTGCTATAAAAAAAGAAAATTCATTAAAAATTCTGTCAAGATTAACAGCAATCTAGATATTACATACCGGAAAAACTGTATCAGCGTTATTTAATCCAGTCAAAAGATTAATAACTTCAAAACTAAAATTATTAAACCTCTTGGAAAATATTCCTTGAAGAAGTACGCATAATGTCTATAAAGATAATAACTTATTAATATAAATATTAACGTGAAATGAACACAAAATTTTTTAATATACATCACCTCCATAGCATTTATCTTTCTCTGAGTATTTTCCTCTTTCATAGCTTCAATAGATTTTAAAAATAATTTTCCAATATTATTCTAATTATCGCCAAAAACGGCAATTTAAGTTAAATATTTGATTTTAATCATGTCTAAAACAATTTTTTTACTTACTTTGATGGCCAATAATTTATCCTGAGAAATTTCGGATAGGCATTTCGTTAAATATGTTGCATTAACTTTAAGTAAAAATAATTCACTCCAAAAATTTGGTTGACCAATTGATGGATCATTACCCTAAGATGAATTAATGAAAAGTTTATAATAAATTTAATTAAGAAACATACTAACGAACCAATGACGAGATAAATTAGAAATTATTATATTTAACCTTGAAAAAACTCTCGTAAATTTCTACAAATTTTTCTTTCAATACGGTTTTTGCACCATAAGCGGGTCTTATAACGCCAGTAAACACTGTTTTTGTTGGTGATTGCATTCTTAACTTTAATATGCTCTTTTAAAAAAAGATAGTAATTAAGAAATAAATTAAAGATAGTGAAAAACCAAGAAAAACGAAATTATCAGTTGATTATCCGGCTCAGGCTTTATATAAAGGATAAATATGGAAATCCATTTCATTTTTGAGCCACATGGCTATGCAATTTAAATATTGGGAATCATTATTTTTACATTATTTGCATTTATTTCGTGGCAGTTTCTCACTTGATCCAAACATTATTATTTTATTTTTAACAATGAAGATTGTATTACGATGTAGGATGTACAAACTAATTCATGTAAAACATGAATTCATACCTTAAATGCATTAGGTTATATTCCAAAATATTTAAACTAAAATATGGAAAAGTCTGTAATAAAATTTTATGGTGTAGGAAATGAATGGGGTGAGTTCAGTAATTTTTTTAAAGCAGAAATTTTGATTGACGGAGAGACCTGGCCAACAACCGAACATTATTTTCAAGGTAAAAATAAATTTTATATTTATTATTATATTTTAATTAGATTTTGAATTCCATACTCTAACTGTTTAAAGCTCAAAAATTTCCATCGCAACCTGAAATCCAACAAAAGATTAGAAATTTCGAAGAACCTGGCCAAGCAGCTAAGTTTTCTCGTAAACATTCAGGTCTACGTTCAGATTGGGAACAAATTAAAGATGGTGTTATGCGTAATGCTTTAAGTGCAAAATTTACTCAACATCAAAATTTAAAAGAAAAATTATTAAGTACAGGAGATGCTGAAATTGTTGAAGCTTCTCCAACTGACAGTTATTGGGGTAATGCTACTCGGAGTGATGGAAGTGAAGGTTTTAATAAGTTGGGACGGTTGTTGATGGAAATTAGAGAAAAGTTAGCAAATGAGCAACAAGAATAGTAATTTTACGAGATAGTGATTTTTCAATTTTCGCAAATCATTTTGATAGTTTGAAATACAATCATGTAAGGGTGCAGTATTATTTAAAACAAATTCGATGTTCAGCGAACTTAGAGATTGTGTCGCCGCATGAAAAAAATAAATTGAAAAAGAAATTTCCTTGATTGATAGTTTTAACTCTTAGTTATAATAGTTAAGATCAATAATGATTACTTCCTGTTTTCAGTTTACAATTACTAATTTACTAAAAAATTAATACCTATAATCAAATTTGATTTTCATCTGATTTTGTTATTATTTTGGTTTCCTATATGATTCTATGATTCTATTAATTTAACAACTTAAATTTTAAATTTAACGACTTGGTATACTTGACTCTCATATCTTCACAGGCTTCCAACATATGTACTGTACAGTATTTTTATTATCGAACTATTCATAAAAAACGATCAAAAACGATCAAAAACATTATCAAAATAACTGGTACAGCAACAGTTAAAATATTTTTAAAATATCCTCCATCTCGATTTTCTTGATTCTCTCAAACAATTTTAATTTACTCCCCTTGCTTGCCGCCTTCTTCCAAATGGTGAATGCTTCTTTCAGGTCAATCTCATGATCATGTTCTCCATTATACAAGATTTCTGCCCACATTTCTAATGCCGACCGATCCTCATGTTTGACAGCCTTTTTTAAATATTTAATGCCATTGATCGGATCATAGGTGCTACCTTCAAGGCATACCTCCGCATATAATGCTTGCGCTTTTACTATTTTTGCATCAGCTGCCTGACGAAGGTATTCGATCGCACTGTCCTCATCTTTATTTATTCCACATTTACCATGATATAAATAATAGCCACAGTAAAATTTTGCAAGTGGACTTTTTCGATGGGAAAGAGCTGCGTATTGTTGAAATAATGGGAAAGCACTGGTATATTTCTTCTGCTTATGTAATTCAACTACATCTTCAAATGGCAAAAGTGGTTGATCTTGTAGAGATTCGTTGCGCTCTGACTGGCTGGTAGATTGTGATATTGAAGAATTGGAAGTATCAGTATTTTGTAACCCGAAATCAGTCGAAGGGTTATCGTAATAATTTTGGTATTTTTTTGTCAGTTTGCGAAGTTTTTCTCTCATAACTTCAATTGTTGGGCGAGTGCCTGCATGAGATGACCAACTTTGCGTTATCAGTTCATTGTATTCTTTAGGTCCGTTTATAGGAAACGGTGTTGGGCGTCCGCTATTTTTAACTACATAATCAACAACATCAATATCATCTTCGATTTCTTCAAATGGCTTTTTACGCGTTCCAATTTCCCATAAAGTAATAGAAAAGCTAGAATTAAATAACATTAGCGGCCTTATAGATTAATAATAAACTAATGCTCTATATGCAGGCAGATTCTATACATACCCGTAGATATCACATTTTTTACTATAAGGTACAAAACTTACAGAACTTTGCTTTAATTTTTCGGGAGCCGTCCACCTAAATAATGATATTATCGTTTAAATAGGAGAAATCATTTAATGCATAGATAAGAACTTTTACTTACCGTAAACTTAAGATTTGCTCTTCATTACTCGTTGTTGATTGCTCTTGGAGTCGACTATAATCGAATCCTGTTAATTTTGCGTCCATGTACTTGTCCAATAACACGTTTCGACTATAATTAATTACAGTGGTAAGATTTTACTTTAAAAAGTGTTTCGAAATTCAAGCTATCAATTATCTTTAGGCCATAAAGAATATGTTGTCAAGGCAAAAACTTCTTTTTACCTCTTTACATCATGATGAAAGATTTCGGTACGATGGATAAACTCTAAAGCATTAGCAATTTGTTCCGCAATCTCAAGCCTGCACGACCATAAGATTTCTTGATCGCTTCGGAGGAAGTCTTCAAGGTTACCCTTTTCAGCCCATTCCGTTACAATATGAAGATCGTGATTAATAAGAAGGGTTCCATAACTATGGTGGAAAAGTAAAACATAAAAAAAATGAAAGTTGGCAAAGGAGTATAAATAATTCTAAAATGTGCATCATGGCACAAAGAAGGATTTATACTAGAAAGACAAAAGTGGTTTAATTTCATATCCACTTTTTGCTTGTTAGTTTGCAAAAAGCAAAAAAACAAAGAAAGCCGTGCATAATATCTCGTAAAGAGAAATTTTTCTTTGTTTATAATAATCAATCTTAGGAATATTTTCTTAAGAATATAAAGTCTTACTTACAACTTTTCAATGCTGTTACAGTGTGACAACTTTGACATTAAAAAAGCGTATTTTTCGATTGATTTTCTATTCTCATTCTCGCTCTCCGGAATTTTGATCTTCTTGACTGCAACTTCCTGGGAACCATACAATTGGCGTTTGATGTGCATATTTTTCCCTTTCATTTCCGGTTCTTCACTATCTTCATTACGGATCAACTCAGTATTTAATCGAACTTTTTCCAATTCTGATTCAGGCATCTCTATACCTTTTCGAATCAGCACTATAGATTCTTGAATTTCAGTCAACTGGCGGCTTTGTTTAACAAACATTTTGGTATTGTTCTCAAAGCTTGCAGGCAAATCTTCAATATATTTATGGAGAAGGACGTTACAGTCATAATTAAGCGCAAGGCTAAATTCTCCGATAGCTTCGTCAAGTTTAGTTTTGTAAATTACGTACGAGTTTTGAATCTGAAGAGAATAAAAGATAAAAATTAATAACTAGGCACATGCCATTGAACGTTGTTTGATCTTTATATCAGAAATTATGATGCAACTCTCGCGGCTGGAATTTTTGCTACGAGAATGCAGCAATAAAAAAATTCATATACTCAAACTTACATCCTTGGCGGCAAAGAACATGGCAGCCTTTTCAAGAAGGAACCGTTTACTAAATTTGCCTGGCTTGCTTAGCTCCTTCGCATAGTTCCTAATTTCAGTGAGAACGTCAATATACCGGTAAAATGCCCGCTCACATTTTGTTTCTTTTGGACTCAGCTCAAACAACCAAAGACTCGATACTTCAACGCGCTCCGCTAGAAGTTTAAGAATTTCCTGGTTGCGATTTGTAGTGTCGGCAAGTGTCAGAATTTCTTCAGCTATTTTTGCCACAGTTTGACAGGCTGGAAGCAAACTTGCTATTTGTAATTACATGGCCGCTTATAGTTAGGATAGTTTCTTTACTTATTTTGGGACGTTTGGATTGAACTTTGGTATTAGACATGCGTAGAGAAAACCACAAAGAAAATTCTTTTGTGAATTAACGATTAGAGGTAGTGAAAAACTATACATAATCTTTCGGGTTTTCTTATTTTTCAGTAACTAAAAAAAGAATTACTTCGAAAGAAAAGATCGTAATCATCATATTCATTGTTTCGGTACTATTAAAGGTTAGTTTAATTTGTGTATTACCAGAATCTCGTGTTTCATTAACTCGCACATTCATTTTAAAAACTCGGAATATTTTTTTTTTTCTCCGATTTCATAAAATCTTAGATACAAAATGGAATTGGAGGAAAATCAAGAAATAGTTTTATGGGGATGGGGATGGGAGGAAATAGGTTTAACGCTATTAATTCATATGGTACTCGCAAATAGAACAAACCCTTTAATGAAAAAAAAAATGGCAGGAAGTAGTTTTTGTAGCAATAGTTGTAGAATTAATGAAAATAAAATTGTTAAAGGACATGTTTTTACTAATATTATTTACTAGTCTGATGATAGAAACTATATTAAAATCACTTAGAGGAAAAAGCACGTGGCAAGGAATAGTTTTAGCAATAATAGTTGGTCTACTTATGGAAAGTAATTTATTGATAAATAGGTTTGCACCAATTGTAATTTGTCATTTTTTAATTAAAATTCAACAAAGATTATCACTGAAATTAAATGGAGAAATAATTGCTTTAACAATACTGAATGGTCTGTTAATAAAAAGTAACTTGTGGATAGAAATGGGACTAATAATAATGATATACCTTTTAATAAAAATATATTTAAGAATATGAAGAATGATAAAAACAGATCATAATTTAAATATTGATGAAAGAAAAGCAAAATATAGAGATCATGAAGTGATATGTGAAAAAAATTGGAGACATAAAATTAGTAAATATTATTGTGAAGATTGTTTTAAAGAAGAAACTGACGATAGAGAAAAAAATCGTTTACAATTCGGGATATGTAAAGAGTGTTCCTGACCTAATACGGGAAAAATTATTTGGTGTTCTGATTGCAACACAAACCATCTTCAACAAGATTTTGATAGGTGGACTAGTGGAAACCAAGAAATTGATGAATTAATAAAAAATAGACAACTAAACGCAAAGAATTCACATGGTATAATAGAATGGATACCTTATAATAAATTTACTGATGTTGAATATATAGCTGAAGGAGGTTTTGCTAAAGTATATTCAGCCAATTGGATTGATGCATACATTAAAGGTTGGGATCAAAAAACTAACAACTGGAAAAGAAAAGAGCGAAAGAAAGTTGCTTTAAAAGTACTAGAAGATTCATCTTGAGATATAAGTAGAACATTTCTTAATGAAGTAAGTAAAAGAAAACAGAAAGAAAATCTTTTGAAATTTTTAATTTAATTCTTTTATTGATTAATATATAATATTATTGTTATTAGTTAGAAGCTTTGGTAAAATTAGCTGAACTGAGTATTACTGGTGGAAAGTTATTCATAGTACCGCTTTATGGCATTTCACAAGATCCTGACACCGAGAATTTTATACTAGTATTTAAATATATAGAAAGTAATTTTCATTATTATTATCGTACTCAAGAATTCAACCAACTAATACTTGGCACAAAGTTGACTTGTATTTGGGAAATTTGTATGAGTCTTGGTATAATCCACTTAAATAACTTAGTTCATAGAGATTTTCACGTGGGTAACATTTTGCAGAATGGTCTAAAAACGTATATAAGTGATTTTGGATTATGTAAGCCAGCGCATGAAATGAATGATCAAAAAATTTATGGAGTATTACCATATATAGCACCTGAAGTATTACGTGGAAAACCATATACAAGGGCATCTGACATTTATTCATTGGGAATTATTATCAATACAATCATTTCTGGAAAATTACCATTTGATGATCGATCATTTGATCGTTATCTTATAATAGATATTTGCCGTTATGGATTACGTCCAGAAATTAGGGATGAAACGCCACAAGTTTTAAAAGAAATAATTCAAAAATGTTGGGACGAAAACCCAGAAAACTGTCTAACCACTTTTGACATCCTTAATCAAATACGTTTTCCAGATAATTCTAAATTAGACTATAAAACAATTGAGGATGTATATTCCACATTTGTATCATTATCATTAGACTCAAGATCTCAAGCAAATTATAAAAGTAGATTACTTGATTTACCAAATTTATCAGAACTAGAATCTGAACTTGCATCAGATTCGATGCAAATATCAACAGGTAATCTATTTTAATTTATATTATCGCATATTGTTTATTAAGTTATTAACAATTCATCAAAAATTTATTTTAATTTAGGTGAAATTGAATCGTAAGATTAAATTATTAGTATTACATACCCGATCTTTAATATAACAATAGTGTCGATCTTAGACGGAGTCGAGCAGTTAGCGCACTTGAAGCTGCTAATTTGGTACCCTTTAATAATATTCACTTAGATATTCGACAAGTTCATCCAATGAGATGCCTATACAACCGCAGGCCTTAGAACCTTGAGCGGACTATTTTCATATTGTGCAATTTTACGTATTATTGCTGGCTCCGCCACGATTTATTTTATCAAATAAAGCATTGTTTTTTACCTGTACGAAACTTGTTTTTGTTCTCTTGATGCAATGAGATATCTGTTTGTATGACATAAAAATCGCCTGCCTGGAACGTAACACATTTTTTTATCTGAGCCAAATATCATCATGTGAGAAAATTGACGCGCAGGTAAAATTCTTGCCGAAAGAATAAAGGCTGTACAACGTATCAGTTCGCATACAATTATATTTTTTTTCAACCTATTTTTTTCTCATACAATCAATAAATCAGGCACAATTAATTTACCAAATTCAGATATATATGGAGTAGCCGAGTAGGTTATGGGATTGTGGAAAGTGAATTGAGCATGCATACATGTATGCTAACATATTCTTTTATTAACAAGACAGAACTTGAATAAATAAATGCGTAGTAACATTTAGTATAGACGTCACATGTATCACGGGAAGCAATAATTTATTTTCAAACTTTCTCGCATATTCTCAAAATTCTTATGTAAAAAAGGCTCCTTGATGATCTTTACATATGAATAGCGTTAAATTCTTTTATTGTAGAGGCGGTTGATCAGATTTTTGTAATGCGATCATATTAACGTAATTTCCCCAAGCGTATTCCAAAATTGATCCTGCAAATTATATAAAAAGGTGATGTCCTGGTTAGTGAACCCTTTTATCCGCCTTGTGCAAATAAAAAAATGAAAAATTAAGCGATATACTCAAACTTACCATAATTTACATCATCGATATTATATTCCGTAAACAATAATAAGGTATGTTGATTTATTGTTCAGCTAGCTTCTTGAGACATGTCATCACGATGTTAATCAATTCCCGCCTCTATAAATGTTCCAAAATAAAACGGACATATCACTTTTCTTGCTATATTGGCATTTTGATCATCACTGACCATCATCACGCGTACAATAGACGTAGTGAAATTACTCACATAAAGCAACGGCACAGCAAAGTCTGGCGCATCAAATTGCATAAGCTTGAAACTTTGCGCAGTATCGTTCTGCAAAGCAATAAATTTCTTGCTAAATACAGGATGGAAAACCTAATGCTCTGATATATGATCAAAAAGCAAGGATCTCTGAAATTGTAATATTCAGTGAGTATATACAAGCGCTTTGCTAAAGGAAACGCAACTACAAGACCCTTACCACAGATCAAACAGACCCATTCAAGTTTCTGGAAGACCATACACTTGACTCCATCATACTAGTAGGATCTGACCAGTGGCGATTCCAGTTCATAAACCCAGGTAATCCCTTCAAGGGGGAATATCCTAGAATCGCTCCATTCCTACTAACACATGGATGTAAGACAACTTCAGAGTTATTAGAACCATACAAGGATAAAGTACAACGTGTCCATACAGATGGATTTATTCTAGAGGAGCAGCCAAATAGTCCTGCACTTATCACTTGTTCAGAAAATGCATCCAAAACATTGAAAGCTCTTAAATTTGAAACTGCAGGATACTGCCATGTGAAAAATGCAAACAAGATTATCTGAACATGATTGCCAAAGAATGCGGTTAGGTTAGGGCAGTGCCAGATATTACCTAATATTCTAGGGGAAGGGGGTAATTGAAAATCTTAAGTTACATACACTGGTCGAAATCAAAACTTTTGACCGTTAAGAGCTTTCGGCATGATTTTTGCCGATTGGTCATGTGATTCATCACATTTTTTGACCAATGGCAAAAATCGGTAAAATCAATTACAAATTGACTGATACTGATTGTTAAACAAAAGCTTGTTCAGTCTTTTGGTGGAAAATCAACTTATACTGATTGATATACGAAAAATTGTTCCTTTAAGTTCATTCAGTAAAATTATGCCGATTGGTCATATAAATCGACACAATTTTGCCAAATTTGCCAAATTGGTAAAAATTGGCAATAATTCGGCAAATCAGTTGTTGAAATCATCAGATGATTAAGATCGACATTTTACAGAAACTTTTTTAAACTTTTTAAACTTTTCGCATCCTTTCCTCCCTCTCTTTCGTCCTTTTCCCTTCCCTTTTTTACACCTTAGTTCTTCACATAAATGTACACATTGAATTCGGTAACTTTTTATTAAATTAAAAAAGTTTCAAAATTTCTTTAAAAAAACATTTTTTAACGTTAAAAAACGTTTCTTTTTTATACTTTTAGTAAAGAAAATCGGTTCCGGCTTAGATACTGATATTACAGGTAAAGTTTTGAAAAATTTTGAAACTTTCTTTTAAAAAAAAACGTTTTTAGATAAAAACGTTTCTTTTTTATATTTTTTGCAGGAAATCGGTTCCAGTGTGGATACCGTTTCCCTAGATAAAGTTTCAAAAGATTTTCGAAACTATCTTAAAAAAAACGTTTTCTAACTAAAAAACGTTTTTTTTTCATTTATTATGGTAGGAAATCAGTTCCGACGTGGATACCGTTTCCCTAGGTAAAGTTTCGAAATAAATTTTCGAAACTTTCTTTAATAAAACGTTTTTAATAAAAAAACGTTTTTTTTATTATTTTTTTATATAGGAATTCGGTTCCAGCGTGGATACCGATATTCCAGGTAAAGTTTTGAAAATTTTTGAAACTTTAATATAAAAAACGTTAAATATTAACGTTTTTTTTTTATTTTTTTGTAGGGAATCGGTTCTGACGTAGATACTGAATCCCAAAGTTAAGTTTCGAAAAAAGAATTTCAAAACTTTCTTTAATAAAACGTTTTTATATTAAAAACGTTTTTTTTTTATTATTTTTTATATAGGGATATCGGTTCTAGCGTGGATATCGAATCCCAAAGTTAAGTTTCGAAATTTTCGAAACTTTAATAAAAAAACGTTAAATATTAACATTTTTTATTATATTTTTTTTTGTAGGAAATCGGTTCCAGCGTGGATACCAAATCCCAAAATAAAGTTTTGAAAATTTTGAAACTTTAATAAAAAAACATTAAATATTAACGTTTTTTATTATATTTTTTTTGTAGGGAATCGGTTCCAGCGTGGATACCGAATCCCAAAGTAAAGTTTCGAAAATTTTTGAAACTTTAATATAAAAAATGTTAAATATTTAACGTTTTTTTTAATTTTTTTGTAGGGAATCGGTTCCGGCGTGGATACCGAATCCCAAAGTAAAGTTTCAAAAATTTTCGAAACTTTAATATAAAAAACGTTAAATATTTAACATTTTTTTTATTTTTTTGTAGAGAATCAGTTCCAGCGTGAATGCCGAATTCCAAAGTAAAGTTTCGAAAATTTTCGAAACTTTAATATAAAAAACGTTAAATATTAACGTTTTTTTTAATTTTTTTGTAGGGATATTGGTTCCAGCGTGGATACCGAATCCCAAAGTTAAGTTTCGAAAATTTTTGAAACTTTAATATAAAAAACGTTATATTTAACGTTTTTTTTTATTTTTTTTGTAGGAATTCGGCTCCAACGAGGACGCCGATATTCCAGGTAAGTTTCGAAACAAATGTTTCGAAACTTTTTTAAAAACTTTTTTTTTTTATTTTTTTATATAGGAAATCGGCTCCAACTTGGACGCCGATATTCCAGGTAAGTTTCGTTTTCAAAACTTTGATAAAAAACGTTAATTTTAATTTCTAACATTTTTTTTTATTCTTTTCCTTTCTTTCGCTTTTATTCTTCTATTGGGCGAAAAAAAATTTTTTAAATTTATATTTTTATTTTTATAGGTTCAGCTTTCGGTTCTTGACTTCTTGGGCTTTGGATATATACTAGGTGAGTTTCAAAAACTTCGAAACTCTAAAAAATATTTTTTTAATTTTTTTTTTTCTTCTTTGTAGTAGGTTTCGGCCTGGGGCTTTGGATATATGGGTGAGTTTCGAAGTGAAATAATCGAAACTCAAAAAAAAAAACATTTTTTTTAATTATTTTTTTT